CAGGAGAGATCATCAGTAAGGTCAACACCTGGGGCTGGGGATTTAATTCAGTGCTAGTGCTTGCCTAGCCTGAAGCCCAGAATTCAATCCCCAGGTCTGCAAAAAAAAAAAAAAAAAAAAAACAAAAAAAAAAAACAACCAGAGATCAACAGCTGATTTCTTAGAAGCCAGGAAGTTGGAAGGCATGACATTACAAAGTGCTGGAAGGAAGACAAATGCCAGCCAAGAATTCTATACTCAATAATAAAACTATCCTGGAAAAAAAGAAGGAAAGCTGAGTGGGATGATGTGCTCCCATAGTCCCAGCTGCATAGGATGCTGAAGGACCCAGGAGTTTGAATCCAGCCTGGAAAGAAAGAAATTGACAAGAGGATTATAAAAATTCATAAGGAAATGTGAGAGACTCAAAATAGCCCAAATGGTCTTGCAAAAGAACAAACTCACACCAGTTTCAAAACTTACTTCAATCTAATTAACTAAGAAGATATAATACTGGCATAGGATTGCCATCTAGATCAATTGAATAGAACTGAGTCCCAAACCAAACAGATCTTTGATCAATGGACTTTTAACAAAGGTGCCAAGATCATTCAATTTGAAGAATAGGCTTTTTCAACACGTGGTGCTAAGACAGCAAATGTCCACATATGGAAGAATGAAGTTGCATCCCTATCTCACATCACATAAAATTAATTAACTCAACGTGGATCATAGACCTTAATGTAAGAGCTAACAATATAAAACTCTTAGAAGAAAAAGAAAGATGCAAATCTTCATGACCTTGGATTGTGCAAGGGTTTCTTAGATATGACACCAAAAGCACAAATAAGTAAAGGAAAAAATAGATAAATTGAACTTCTCAGAATTATCTTACATTTCATGTGACACTATTGAAGAAATAAAAGGACACCTTAGAGAATGGAAGAAAATATTTGCAAATTACATATCTAATAAGAGTATAGTACCCAGAATTTTAATATAAAGAACTTTTATAACTCAGGGATAAAAAGACAAGTAGCCCTATTTGAAAATGGGCAAAAGATCTAAATGGATGTTTTTACAAAGAAAACATACAAATGACCAATAAGCACATGTAAAGATGCTCAGCTTCATTAGTAATTAGGGAAGTTAAAACAAGATACCACTGCACACCAAGATGGTGGTAATCCCAAAGTGGAAAATAACAAGGTTGGTGAGGATGTGGAGGATGGAACCATCATAATTACTAGTAAAAACAGTTTAACCATTCCTGAAAAGATAAACCCAGAGTTACCATGTGACCCAGCAGTTCTACTCCTAGAAATATGCTGAAGAGAATTGAAAACAAATGTTCACATCAAAATATGGGTGCAGCCCAGTGTGGTGGCACATATATGAAATCCTAGCTTTCCAGGAGGCTGAGGCAGGAGGATTGTAAGCTCTAGGTCAGCCTGGTCAGCTTTGCAAGACTCCATCTTAAAAGGGCTGGGGATGTAGCTCAGCGGGGTTCAATCCCCAGTATTGAGAAAAATGAAAAAGTTCTTTCAGCAGGGTGTGGTTGTATACCCCTTGTCATCCCAGCTACTCTAGAGGCTGAGGCAGGAAGATCACAAAATTGAGGCCAGCCTGTGCGATTTAGTGAGACACTTTTCTCAAGAAGAGCTCAGGATGTAGCTCAGTAGTAGAGTGCTTGCCTAGCATGTGCCAGCTCCTGGATTCCATGCACAGTATTCGGGTGAGGAGGTGATGCTGACTGGCAGTGGCAATTATGGTCATTCTTACTGTTTCCTTTGTTTTGTTTTTGTGGTGCTAGCTGTCAGTCTCAGGAACTTGCCCATGTTGAACAGGTGCACCATCACTGATCCATACCTCAGTCCTGTCTAATATTTTGGGGGATGCTCCTAGAACTGCCTCATTGAACATGATGCTGAGTTTGGAGGTTAGGAAAATACTCAGCCATTAATATCTTACTGAGTTTTTTTTTTAATGGACACAATATCTTTTTTTTTTTAAGAGAAAGAGGAGAGAGAGAGAATTTTTTATTTTTTTTGAGAATTTTAATATTTATTTTTTAGTTTTTGGCGGACACAACATCTTTGTTTGTATGTGGTGCTGAGGATCGAACCCGGGCTGCATGCATGCCAGGCAAGTGCGCTACCACTTGAGCCACATCCCCAGCCCGACACAATATCTTTATTTATTTATTTTTTGAGGTGCTGAGGATCAAACCCAGTGCCTCACACCTGTAAGACAAACGCTCTACCACTGAGTTACAGCCCCAGCCCCTCTTACTGAGTTTTAAAAACTCAGTAATAGATGTTGAATTGTCTCATTTATTTGTTTGTTTGTTTGTTTATTGATACAGGGGATTTAACTCAAAGGCACTTGGCCACATCCTTAGCCCTATTTTGATTTTATTTAGACAGGGCCTCACTGAGTTGCTTAGTACCTTGCTTTTGCTGAGACTAGCTTTGAACTTGCAATCCTCCTGTCTCAGCCTCCCAAGCTGCTGGGATTACAGGCGTATGCTGTCGTGCCCAGCTGTCTTATTTATGGATATGGTGAATTTAAAAAGATTTTTTAAAGGGGAGAGAAAATACAGTGAATTATTATTAAAAGATCCTCTGATATTGAACCATGTTTACATTCATGAAATAAAGACTATTTGAACGTATTTTATCAGTTATTCTTTTAATAAAACTGCTGAATTCCATTTTCTAATTTACCCACGCATCTCTATTTAATTCATCTTTGCATCTCCATTCATAAGAGAGATGAATGTGTTGTTTCTTTTTTGTCTACACTCTGTGGGGTTTTCGTATCAGAGTTTGTGCTACCAAGTTCAAGTGGAAGCTTCTCTCCCTGCTGGGATGAGCGACATTCGCGCACATCCTCTGGGGCTGGGTCCTACCTCCAGAGGATAGGGATGTCTTTCCTTAGCAACATTCTGAATTTTTTTTGTTTTGTTTTGTTTTCTGGAACCCATTTTGGTAAATTCTATTTTTGTAGCAAGTTATCCTTTTTTTAATATTTATTTTTTAGTTATAGATGGACACAATGTCTTTACTTTATGTGGGGCTGAGGATGGAACCCAGTGCCTCATGCATGCTAGGAGAGTGCTCTACCTCTGAGCCACAACCCCAGCCCAGCAAGTTATCCATTTTATCCTTAGAATGTAACCCTTATGAATTAATTCAGTGTTTCATTTTGTTATCTTCTACATACATTGCAATTTCAGTTGACTTGCCAATGGAGTGAATGTGAGGTGAAGGAAAGATAGGACTCAAAGATGACATGTCGGAAATAGCCAGGAGCCAAGATGGAAGATACAGAAGCAGCTTTAGGGAACATGAGGAGTTTTGTTTTGGACATATCCATATTGAGGTGTTACAGGGTCCTTCTGCAGGGCTGTGGTCAGAACCAGGGGCAGAACTGTTTTCAAGCAGCTGCAGCAAGAAACTGCATAAGGTGCTCAGGGAGTGGGAGAGCAGAAAGCATGGACTGTGTGTAGGTGTCCGTTCATTCTGCAGATTTGAAGGGAGTTGACATTTGCTTTTATTTTCTTCATGAAGTATGAAGCAGGGTCTCCAGTAGAGAGTTTCAGAGCATGAGCTGGGCACAGTGGCATACACCGGTAATTCCAGTGACCCAGAATGCTGAGACAGGAGGATGGCAAATTCAAAGCCAGCTGCAGCAACTTAGTAAGGCCCTAAGCAACTCAGTGAGACCCTGTCTCAAAATAAAAAAATGAAAAGGGCTGGGGATGTGGCTTAGTGGTAAAAGCACCCTGGGTTCAATCCCCATTAGGGAGAGGGAGAGAGGGAATTGGAGGCTGAGGACTGAAGAGAAAATGCTACTTTGGAAAATGGAAAAACAGACCCACTAGATCATTTGGGAAGATGGCTAGGTAGCGTGGAGTGCTACTTTGGGACATCAGGTGATAACGTTTCAAGGGAGAACAGCTGGAGTGATTTTGTGACCATCTTTGGCTGTTGGGGTATGAGATGTAAGTGGCCAGCTGGGCTTAACCTGCACTAGGTTAAGGAGGGGACAGGAGAGGTCAGGGGCTGGCAAACACAGTGATGCTGATGGAGGATTCAAATGATCAGAGAGGCATTAGGAATAGTGATCAGGAGCCAGGGATGTTTGGTGGGTGGACAGGTTGGTGATGGAATTACAGCTGAGATTTTTAGAGGCATTTCCTGAAGATGGCTAGGAGGTATGGACCAGATGAGGCACAGGCAGGAAGAGGTGACTGAGGAGGCTGGTGAACAGTCAGTGTTCAGAGGCTTGTCCATGTCGCTGATATCCACAAAGAAGTAGCAGGAGGGAATCAAGAGGGAAGAGTGATCGGGAACTGAGAGGAGTGGCAGGGGATGGCAACAAGGGTGGGTATTATCCATGATCTCAAAACAGTGGGGTTTTGAGGAGAGGTGGGGTAGAAATTATCTAGAAGCATTAAAGGCCAGACCCTAAGGTACCTTGGACGTAAAAGGAACAGCTTCCTTAGGCAGGTTTCTTTGAGGACAAAAGGGAAGGACCCTTCAAATAAGATAGACCATGTTCCAGAAGGCGAGTGAAAGGGTTGTGGGACAGGCAGTTTAGGAAGGAGAACAGGGTGAACAAATATTTATTATTTCCCCTGCACTGGGCATAAAGGATGCCCCTGTGAACTAGCAGACAGGTCCCTGCCTTTGCAGAACTTGTGTTTTAATGCTGCTTCAGCCAGTACCAAGTGTCTTGAGTTCTCCTTGAGATCTAAACACCTTCTAAAGGCAGAGATCCCTCTGCTTCTCCCCTGGACACAAGAGCCAAGGGTACAGGGCAGCTATGTGTGTGCAAATGCCTGCTGCTCTAACAAAATCACCCCCTCTCCATGCTGTGACCAAGCCCTTGGCAACCCTTTCACGCTGAGTCATGGGTGTGTGTGAGAGCCTTTGTTCCAGGTCTCAAGCTGAGAGCTGCACCTGCCCTACCCCCAGTCATCTTCTTTTCCCTCTTCTGGGCCCTTGCTCTACCAGACACCATCCGGAAGATGAAGAACGATTTCCGTAAGATGGAGGATGAGATGGACCGTCTGGCCACCAACATGGCGGTGATCACCGACTTCAGTGCACGCATCAGCGCCACGCTGCAGGACCGCCACGAGCGCATCACCAAGCTGGCAGGTGGGTCCCATCCCTAGCAGGCCCTGCAGAAGGCAGCCCTCTGCTGTGGGGCTAACATGTTCTTCCGGTTGGCCCCCCCAGGTGTGCATGCGCTCCTGCGAAAGCTACAGTTCCTCTTCGAGCTGCCCTCGCGCCTCACCAAGTGTGTGGAGCTGGGCGCCTACGGGCAGGCGGTGCGCTACCAGGGCCGCGCGCGGGCCGTGCTGCAGCAATACCAGCACCTGCCCTCCTTCCGTGCCATCCAGGACGACTGTCAGGTCATCACGGCTCGCCTAGCTCAGCAGCTGCGGCAGCGCTTCAGGTGTGGTCCCTGGCCCTAGCCTTGCCCACCAGCCAGGGCGGAGTGCACACCTCCCAGGCCCTTGTGAGCTGTGCCTTGCCTATGCCTTGCCTCCCTGACTCCTGCCCACCCTGCTAGCCGCCCTAGGTCTCCCTCTCACTGCCATCTCCCTCCCCACAGGGAGGGTGGCTCAGGCGCCCCTGAACAGGCCGAGTGCGTGGAGTTGTTGCTGGCCCTGGGCGAGCCTGCCGAGGAGCTGTGCGAAGAGTTCCTGGCGCATGCTCGTGGGAGGCTTGAAGAGGAGCTGAGCAGCCTGGAGAGCGAGCTGGGGCCCTCTCCTCCTGCCCCTGATGTGTTAGAGTTCACTGACCGAGGCGGCAGTGGCTTCGTGGGCGGCCTCTGCCAGGTGGCAGCAGCCTATCAGGAGTTGTTTGCAGCCCAAGGCCCCGCGGGTGCCGAGAAGCTGGCAGCCTTCGCGCGGGAGCTGGGCGGCAGATACTTTGCTCTGGTGGAGCGGCGACTGGCACAGGAGCAGGGTGGTGGTGACAACTCGCTGCTGGTGCGAGCGCTGGATCGCTTCCATCGGCGCCTCCGGGCTCCTGGGGCCCTACTGGCTGCTGCAGGGCTCGCTGAGGCTGCCACCGAGATTGTGGAGCGAGTGGCCCGAGAGCGCCTGGGCCATCATCTACAGGGCCTGCGGGCAGCCTTCCTGGGCTGCTTGACGGATGTGCGCCAGGCCCTTGCTGCTCCTCGCCTGGCTGGGAAGGAAGGCCCCAGCCTAGCCGACTTGCTGGCCAATGTGGCCAGCTCCATCTTGAGCCACATCAAGGCCTCTCTGGCAGCTGTGCACCTCTTCACTGCCAAGGAGGTGTCCTTCTCCAACAAGCCCTATTTCCGGGTACGGTCTGCGCAGGGGCTTTTAGTTATTTGTTCTGCTAATTGGCTCTCTAATGCCCTTTTACTAGTACATATTCACCAGTGATTGGGGAACTGAGGACTAGTTACCAGGCTCACACAGTCTTTGCCCCTAGAGGGCACTCTAGACGCGCTGTCAGGTTCTCCAGGATGGGGGGACTCTGAGAGCACCTGCAGCCAAGCTATAGCAGAGGAAAGTGCCAGCCAGTGTCCCTAGTGCTGCCACTGCCACACACACAGACCAAGCAGAGAAGCTGCTCCTGGGTACTTGAGATGCAAGATGAAGCTGTCCCTTGGAGAGGGGCCAGGGCAGAGGGTGGGACAGCCCCTGCCTAGAAGAAAGGACTGTCTATCTGGGCCCTTCTTCCTCCCAGGGTGAGTTCTGCAGCCAGGGTGTCCGAGAAGGCCTCATCGTGGGCTTCATCCGCTCCATGTGCCAGACAGCTCAGAGCTTCTGTGACAGCCCAGGAGAGAAGGGAGGTGCCACCCCCCCTGCCTTGCTTCTGCTACTTTCCCGCCTCTGCCTGGACTATGAGACAGCCACTATCTCCTACATTCTCACTCTCACTGATGAGCAGTTTTTGGTGCAGGTGAAATTTGGGCTCATGGTGGGGGGCAGAGGGTGGTGGTTCTGGGAACATAAGAGGCTGGGCAGCCCCTGGTGGCCAAACCCAAGCTCTACCCTACTTTGGCTGTGTCTAACTCTTAATTGGAAGTGGCCCCTGAACTGTCACCAAGTACCCACTGCCTCTGTTCTCTGCCTCTGGCTCAGGACCAGTCTCCAGTGACACCTGTCAGCACACTGTGTGCAGAGGCCAGGGAGACAGCGCGGCGACTGCTGACCCACTATGTGAAGGTGCAGGGCCTGGTCATATCACAGATGCTACGCAAGAGTGTGGAGACGCGGGACTGGCTTACTACACTGGAGCCTCGGAATGTGCGCGCTGTCATGAAGCGGGTTGTGGAGGACACAACAGCTATTGACGTGCAGGTGCTGCCCTCGGCTGACTGCTGTAGCCCTGACACAGACTGGGGGTATTGGGAACAGCACTCTGAGGATCAAGACAAAAGGGCCAGGCAATGCCTGTATTCATGTTCTTATTCCTCAGCCTTGGGAATGTAGTAGCATCACCACCCCCATTTTACCTACAGGGCAGCAGAGGCCTAGGGTCACCCAGGAAATTGGGGCAGGGCTATGCTGAATACTGGGTCTCAGACTGATTCTTATGTCCTACTTTGCCCCACTCCACTGATTCTATAAATGGTGACTCAGTACCCTGTGATTGAGTAAGTATCAGGCATCCTCTGCTGAGGCTCCTTGTGGTAACTCTTTCATCACCAGGTGGGGCTCCTATATGAAGAGGGTGTTCGCAAGGCCCAGAGTAGCGACTCCAGCAAGAGGACCTTCTCAGTGTACAGCAGCTCTCGGCAGCAGGGCCGCTATGCACCTAGCTACACACCCAGGTCTGGCTGGTAGGGGTGCCTCAGGGAAATGCACGAAAGAGGACCGTGTGCGGGGCGGGTTGTGATTCCTTGTCTCATTCCTCATGCAGTGCTCCAATGGACACCAACCTCTTGAGCAATATCCAGAAGCTGTTCTCTGAGCGTATTGATGTGTTCAGCCCTGTGGAATTCAACAAGGTCTGAAGTCCCATGTGACCCAGACTCCAGGGGAACTGGGGAAGCTTGGCTGGAGCAGCTCTGCACCAGCCCAGGAAGCCCTAGGACCCGGTCTATGCCCAACTGAGAGTGACCTTGATCCTCCAGTCTCTATTTCTAGGGCTGTTTCCAGGTAGTTCAGAGCACCACCACCATCACTTCATAGCTCAAGCCTGGATGCTGATCTAGAAGCCTCTGCCTTTTTCTCCCCAGTAGTTCTGGGTCCTCAGGGTTTCCTAGTCACACCTTGGCTTTTGCCCAACTCCAGTCCAAGTTCAGGGATATTTTTTCCCTCATTTAGTAATGTCTTTCCTTACCCCATGTTAATACTGGCCCCTATCTCTGCCTCTGATTACTGGGTCCTGCCTTCCCTTTCCCTTTAGATACCCTGTGATTCTTGTAACAAATGAGTAGGTATAGGGCTGAGGCTCCTTGTGGGACCTACATACCACAGGGCTGGAGGTGTTGTGGAGCCCATGAGCGCTGCTGCTGTTACCTCTATAGCAGAGGTACCAGGTACCATGTCCCTGGAACACTCTGCCCGGGACCTCCTGTCTTATGCCATTTGCTGGCACCTCATGTTGTTGATAGACCTTTATTTATATGAGGTGCTGAGAATCGGATCCAGTGCCTCACAGGTGCCAGCAAGTGCGCTACCACTGAGCCACAGCCACAGCCCCCTGGCCCCTCTTCTTAACACCTACAGTCACTCAGCTGCCTCCCTATGTCCCTGCCTGCAGGTGTCGGTGTTGACAGGCATCATTAAGATCAGTCTGAAGACGCTGCTGGAATGTGTGAGGCTGCGCACCTTTGGGCGCTTCGGGCTGCAGCAGGTGCAGGTGGACTGCCACTTCCTGCAGCTCTATTTATGGCGCTTTGTGGCGGATGAGGAGCTTGTACACCTGCTCCTGGATGAAGTGGTGGCCTCAGCTGCCCTGCGCTGTCCGGACCCAGTGCCTATGGAGCCCAGTGTTGTGGAGGTCATCTGCGAGCGTGGCTAGGCTCATCTGATGAACACACAGAGCCGCGTGGTGCCCATCTGGTCAATGCCATGGTCTGACCTTCTGGTGCGGCAGACCTTCCCTGGGTCAGGACCGGTGTCAGGACCAGCTTAATAAACCTGTTTCCTCCTAGTTCTCTTAGTGCGTGCCGAACCTGCAAGGGGTGGGGTTTGGGGGTTGAGGCTTCTGAGGCGCCAGCGCAGGATCCGCCCCCGATCGCCAATTGGCTGATGTTCTGGGCCCAGGATGAGCAGGGGGCGTGTCCACTTAAAGACCTCGGGACTAGAGCTGCGGCAGCCCCAGCTTTGTGTGGAGGCAGGTGCAGCGGGTCGCAACCTCCTGGTGGCCAAGCCTTTCTCCTGGGGGACAGGGCGGGCTGCGTTTCCTTGACCGACTTTTGTGAGCCCCCACCCCTGGGTAGAGCGGAAACCATGGCTTCTCTTCAGGGCCCCCGAGCCCCACTGGAATTCGGGGGGCCCCTGGGTAATGAGGCTGAGCGGGGCTGGGCTGGAGGGGTGAACTAGGAACAGGACGAGGCAGGATCTGAGGGTGGCAGTTTTGGGGGTACCCAGAGAAAAAAGGGAAGGAGTTGGCAGGGAAAATGTCTCCAGAGGGAGAGCCAGGAGGGGCACTTCTGGGGGCTGGGCGCTGGGGATTTGTGGAGAACTGAGATTTGGGGGAGGAGGGTCTTCTAGGGAAAGGGATCCAGAGGCAGCGGGAGCTCGGGGACTGACAATCGGATTCGGAGACGACGGTGGTAGCCTGTGGGTTCGGGAGAGATGGAGAGCGGACATCCGAAGTTGTGGCCCCCTCCCTAGGCGCTGCGGGGCTGCTGCTGCTGCTACCCGCCACCATGTTCCACCTGCTACTGGTGGCCCGCTCAGGCCCAGCGCGCCTACTAGGCCCACCTCCGTACCTGCCAGGGCTGGAGGTGCTGTGGAGCCCGCGAGCGCTGCTGCTGTTACTCACCTGGCTCGGCCTGCAGGCGGCGCTCTACCTGCTGCCGGCGCGCAAGGTGTGAACTCTGTTCCAATGCTTCGGGGAGGCGGGAGGAAGGAGGGCAAGAAGGCCCCACAACCCTTATCAGATTGCCCTGTACCCGCAGGTGGCCGAGGGGCAAGAACTGAAGGACAAGAGTCGTCTGTGCTACCCCATTAATGGTGCCTGGAGGATTGGCCCTTGCACTGGACTTGGTGGGAGTGGGGTTCAATATCTAGCCAGAGGGTCCATGGAGATTAGCTCCCGACCTCAGGTTCCCATATGTTCCTCTCTTATGCCAAGGAGACTCCAGGGAGTCTCCCCACACCCCTTATCCCTGCTCCTTTACTTCATTTGCAGCTACTCTATACACCAGGGCAGTAGCTGAGGTGGCTCTCTGAAGGCTAAGGTGGTAGCCTAATGGCTTAAGCAGGGTCTGTGACCTCCCTGACCTTGCTTTGGTGCATGTGTATGTTGGGAGGGGCGGTGGCGATGCCCAGCCCCAGGACTTACTCTGTTGTGATTCAGGCTTCCAGGCCCTGGTGCTGACAGCCCTATTGGTGGGGCTGGGGATGTCCATTGGGCTGCCCCTGGGTGCGCTCCCGGAAATGCTTCTGCCCTTGGCATTTGCAGCCACCATCACCACCTTCATCTTCAGCTTCCTTCTCTATATGAAGGCTCAGGTGGCCCCTGCCTCAGCCCTGGCACCTGGGGGAAACTCAGGTGAGAGGGGTCCCAGTGGGGTGGAAATGCCGCAGATGGGGACACTTGTTTGCACTTTCACTCTCTGTTATTCTCTAGGCAATCTCATCTACGACTTTTTCCTGGGACGGGAGCTCAACCCTCGCATTTGTTCCTTTGACTTCAAGTATTTCTGTGAACTGCGACCCGGTCTCATCGGCTGGGTATGCTGGGCTTTATGGGGCTGGCCTCAGGCCAGGGGAAGGCAGGGCCCCAACAGTGCAGAACAAAAATCATTGTCATTCCCTCCTCCCTGTTGATCTATTGTGTCCTCAACATTGCTCTACTGCTGGAAGACAAGAGAGAGAGAAAGTCATAGGAGAGAAAACATAAAGCCTTCATCCTAGTGGGAAAGAGAGACCCAAACCAGTAAAATATATATAGTGAACTGGTGTAGTGCAGTAGTGGGGCATTGCCTAGCACCTGCCACACCCTGCATTCCATCCCCAGCATCACAACATACAAACACACCACACACACACACACACACACACACACATACACACACAATGAAAGAAAATCAAGCAGGAAGAGTTAAGAGAGCTCATGCAGTTTTAAATACAGCAATCAAGTGCAAAATCTATTTTGAGGACAGTGATGCTCACATGTTTTTGATGGTCAAGGCAGTACAGAATCTAGAACTGATCACTGGGTTTAGCAGCCTACCTGTCCGTCACTGTTGGCCTTGACAACATTCCATCTCTGTCCTAGAGTTATGATCACCCATGCTGGACGTTGGCCAAGAGTACCAAAGGAACTCTTGGGAAACGTCCCTCATGTAAACTTAGAAGTGACCTCACCCTGAGGGTAGGAGTGTGATGTGTTCACCATGGATCTGTTTTATTTTCCCCCAATCTTTTATTTTTTGAGATGGGAGGTCTGACTGTGTAGCCCAGGGTGGTGTCAAACCAAAGATCCTCCTGCATCTGCCTTCTAAGTAGTAAGACTACAGGCATGCACCACTGACCTGGCCCCCTGTGGATCTGGAGCAGGTCCTGCTCACAGACACTTCAGCCTCTAAGGCTATTTGCTTACTTGTGAAATTGGATCAAATTAAAACTTTCTCCCAAGATTATTGTGAGAATGAGAAAGGTAAGCTTAATGCTAGCACTTAGCTCCGCTCTGCCCAAATGAGGGTGCTCAGCATGGACTGGATCCTAGCTAACTGCTAGTACTGCACACATTATGTCAAGTCCTCACACAGCACCCGAGTCAGGTCCCTATCTATTCCCCACATGGTGGTGGGATAGTGGGCTTTGGGAAAGGTAACAACCTGCCCAAGTGGCAAAGCTCAGATTCAAAAGCTTGAGTTTGAACTCTGGAGCCATAGTCAGTCTGTCTACCTGAGCACAGGGCCTGGATCCACTTAACAAGGGGCTAAAGAGTGACTGACAATGACAGGTGAAAAAAGGGGAGAGGCTGGCACTTCCCCACTCAGGTGCTTCCACTTGGGTGGAGGCAATGGCCTTGTCCCCCACTATTCCCAGGTCTTCATCAACCTGGCCCTGCTGGTGCAGGAGGCAGAGCAGCGGGGGAGTCCTTCACTTGCCATGTGGCTGGTCAATGGTTTCCAGCTACTGTATGTGGGTGATGCCCTCTGGCATGAGGTGAGGCTGCACTGGGCAGGGGAGGCTGGGGAGAGTCCCTGTGGACATAGGACTAAGACAGTGTACCTGGGTCCTGTCCCTATAGGAGGCTATCCTCACCACCATGGACATCACACATGATGGATTTGGCTTCATGCTGGCCTTTGGGGACCTGGCCTGGGTACCCTTCACCTACAGCCTGCAGGCCCAGTTCCTGTTGTACCACCCACAGCCCCTGGGGTTGCCCATGGCTGCAGTCATCTGTCTCATCAATGGTCAGTCAGGAAGGGCAGCAAGCTGGGCCCATCATTTCCCTTCCCTCTTTTTTTCATTCACACTTGGTTCAGTATTCAGTAGGTAGGTGCGAAGCTCGGGTGATTATCTAAAGCTGGGGCTGGGTTCTGGATATCCAGACAGTCAGCTATAGACATGCCAGTAGATACTAAAAACCAGGCAGAAGACCACGGCCCTCAACCTTGACTATCTGCTCATACTCTCCCCCAGCTATTGGTTACTACATATTCCGTGGGGCCAATTCCCAGAAAAACACTTTCCGAAAGAATCCTTCAGATCCCAGTGTGTCTGGTAAGTTGGGTCTCCTGGGGGCCATAGGTGAGGTGGAGCACGACTTTCTGGGATTCTCTACCTCACTCTCTGTGTTTCCCAGGCCTTGAGACCATTCCTACTGCCACCGGGCGGCAGCTGCTGGTATCTGGATGGTGGGGTATGGTCCGTCATCCCAACTATCTTGGAGACCTCATCATGGCTCTGGCCTGGTCCTTGCCTTGTGGTGAGTGCCCTGGGTGGATATGAGCAGTAGCATGGTGATCACAGGATGCCTATGATCAGCTACTAGGGATGGACCCAGTGTGTGGTGTATGGCTGGGGCAAACCCCATTGCCAGGTTGGGTTGCCTTTCTCTGCTGAGCCTTGATGCTCTGTGAGCCACTAGGCATGGAAATCTCTGTGAACTGCTGTTTGAGTGGTCACAGAGCACTTCTGTACAGGGGTGTCCCACCTGCTACCCTACTTCTACGTCCTCTACTTCACTGCACTGTTGGTGCACCGGGAGGCCCGGGATGAGCGGCAGTGCCTGCAGAAGTACGGCCGGGCTTGGCAGGAGTACTGTCGGCGGGTACCTTACCGCATCTTGCCCTACATCTACTGAAGCAGCTTCACTGGCCACCAGACCACCATGATAGGAATCTGGACACAACTGGGCCCTGAGCTCTCCCAGGAAGGGATGACCAGCCTCTGAGAAAAGGTCATTTGGAACAAGATGAAGCCGGTACCCCCAAATGGAGACATTTTTCTCCCGTTGTATAAATGTCTGGAACCCTTGGTGTTTTGCTCCCATTCTGGGACAAGTGTGTTTATACCCAGAGTTGGGTGAGCTCTGACTAGGAGGAAGCTGAGAGGCAGTTTGTGAACACAATTCTGGGCTAGATAGGATAACAGCTGTCACTCAGAAATGGGCACTGTCCACAGTTGGGCAGACCAGGCACAGCTTTATTAATAACAAGGGTCCCCAGATCAGCCAGGGAGCTCCTCAATGAGAGTCTTCGGTGCAGGTGGCACAGGGCCTCCCCAAAGGCGCTCTAGCTCCCCAGTGAGGGCTGCCACCTCCTCTGCTGCCACCGTGTGGGCTTGGTGGGCCCTGGTGCAGTCTAAAGCCAATGGTGTTAGGACAGCTTCATTTTCATTGGTCCAGGCCAGCAGAAATTGGCACTTCTTCCGGGCCCTGTAGAGGCGATCTCGCTCTTCTCTATCCACGGCCTGTTTCCTGGCCCTGCCCAGAGTCTGCACTAGATGCCCCAATGCAGCCAG